AGCAGCAGTGGCAGCAGCCGCGTAGGCTCGACACAAAACATGAATGAGCTGTGAAGCAAATGAAGTGCTACGCCAGGCGAGCTGTAACCCGCAGCGTGTTTAAATATACCTAAACACAAAAAAAAAAGGGAAGGAAAATGGAAAAAAGAAGTATAAAAAAAATAAAAAGTGGCGTAAAAATGCAACGCATGCAGCCGACAATGACGACATCGTCTGCAATATTCGCAACAGCAGCGACGACGCAGCGGCAGACCAACGTACAGCAGCAGCAGCAGCAGCAGCAACAGTGGCAGTGGCAGCAGCAGACGCTGTCAGGCTGCCAGGCGGCTATCATGTCAACGCCGGCGTCCTCATTTGTCTGTTTGTTTCAAACTTTTTTTTGATTTTTATTTTAATTTTCTTCATATATCTGTTGTTGTAGTTGTTGTTGTTGTTGTTGCAGACAGACAGACAGGCTGGCGTAGTAGCAGTCAGTTTAGTTTTGACTACGCTTGGGCATATTTTGTGCCTCATCATCACCGCGCCGCTGGTGGCGACACATGCGAGTGACTGCAAATAAACGTCAGAAGAGTCCCAGCATCCCAACAGTTCGCTCAGCAATGATTGTTGTTGCTGCTGCTGCTGCTTCTACTGCTGCTGCTGCTGCTGCTGCTGCTTCTGTTGCTGCTTCTGCTGCCGTTGATATTGTTGCAATAATCAGCATTTGTTGTGCCCCGCACCGCCCATGGAACCTTCCGGCATCACAATACTTTGCCAGACAGCGCTCAACATGCTCTGCGTTTTCCATTGCAAATCCTTTTATAATCATTTGAAACTAATTTAATTCACTAAATGTAAAAATAATATAAATAAATAAAATTAATATATAAATAAACATGTTTTTTTTAATTTTTCCACTGTATCAATTGAAGTAATTAAAACAATTTAGTTCCAATTTATATAAAATATATAATTTGTTTGCATTCAATTCGAAGTTCGTAAGCTTTTAATATGTAAACAATATATATTTTTTTACAGATGCCAAATAAACTATTATATTCTATATCATATATTATATAAACTATAATTTTTTGTGTCTAAAATCGTGACACACCCTTTTTTCATGTTGCGCCTACAATCCTTGTGGGCATTGTTTGGGCATGTGACCAAAAATAAAAATACAGAAAGGAATTTATAAAACAATGCCAATGGGGACTCGTCCGACTTAAAGTCAAGGGGCAGCAGCCAGAACGTCGACCAGCAGTCATCGCATGCTTTTAGGCGTATGCATTCTGAGGGCCCCAGACACAAACGTAGCCCAGTTGAGAGGAGAACACAGCACACATTGCATTTGGGCTACGTTAACAAAGCTGTAGGCGTGGCAATTGGAGCGTATGCATATCATATGCACAAGCACAAGCACAGTAGCCACATATATGAGTGACTGTGTGTGTGTGTGTTGTGTGTGTATGTGTGCTTTTATCGGACTTGTTTTGATAGTTGACTCGATTCTAAGCCTATTAAGGCGCTTGAGTCGTTCAACAATTGAGCGGCTTAGCACTGAGCGGGTTTCAAAGCAGAAGATCTCATCGTAAATGATAGGCAACAACAAAGTTAAGCTTCCTATCCCTCTCCCACTCCACTGTCTCTCTCTCTCTCTCTCTCTCTCGCTCTCTCTCTCTCTCTCTCTCTCTCTCTCTCTCTCTGGTTAGTGCTGCTACCAATAATTAAGGCAGCGTCGCGCTCGTTAGTCACATCCTTCTATATAGCTCCGTCTGCCGAACTCGTTTTGCTGTTTCCATCTCTATCTATCTCTGTGAGCCTGCAGCTCTCTCTCCCAGCACTTTGGCTGTCGCGCCGGCAATTTTCTCAAGAAGCCGCACTTAAATGGCTTCCCGTGCGGGTGCAAACAAAAGCTGCCAGGCAGTCACACACATGTCTATACCCAAACGGATATGTGTGTGTGTGTGTGTGTGTGTGTCTCCGACAGCAACAAAAAAATATGGCTGCAGCAACAAAAAAAATCTCAGCTACTGCTACTGCAGCAAGTCGAGTGGCGTCGCCTGGTGGTTGATTTGGTTTGTTTTTGTTGTTTTTGCTACTTCTGCCAACGTGCAAATGAAAAAAATAAAGAGTTGCAATTTGCAGTTGATGTTGTTGTTGCTGCTGCTGCTGCTGCTGCTTCTGAGCGCAACACATGCGCCATTATGCAATTGATTTTCTTGCTTTTTTTTTCGTTCTACGTTTTTTGCATTGTTTGTGGGGAAAGCTGTTTAAAGTAACTGTATATGTTTTTCTCCTTATTTTTTGTGTGGGATTACGGGTTCAGCTGTGGGGCCAAGGGTCATTCAACCCGTTTTGACGGAGTAACTAATTTTGCACAGGCAGGCCAGTTACAAAATAACACTGACAACGGCATAGGTGTGCCTAATTAGTCGCAGCGAACTAAAGCAAATCCAGTGAAAAGCCGTGCAAGAAACCCAAAGCAAAGGTGTCTAAGCTGACGCCTCATGTGGAAAATGGCAAAACAAACTGCAGGTCCTCCCCAACCAGCGTCCGTCCGCTGTCCGTCTGTGTACTGAAAAGATAGCAGACACACATAAATGAACACACACAGAAGCACTTGTGTACATATATGTAGGAGCCGAAGACTGCTGTTGCAACTGCATGCAACTTGCAACTGCATCTGCATTTCTATAGCATCGTGCATGCATCACGTGCGCTATCTCATTTGCCGTTGCATGCAATGCGGCGCTGCTTTTAACCCTGAATGCAATTCATGAATGCACTGCTGGTTGCAACGCTGCCACAGACAACGCAGAGACACCCTAGTTATACACACACACACACACAAACACACACACAGGCACACTTAAGCTGAGACATAGGCAACTTCTGCTGAGCCATGTCAAGTCAGATTGCGTATACGCAGCATTGGCCACTTGCATTATTAAGCGCTACTTCAGCGCTGTGATAAGCTGTCGCAAGTGCGTAAGCACATATATACATATGTATATCTGTGTGTGTGTGTGTGTGTGTGAGTGTGTGTGAATGTGTTTGTTACGGCTTTTGTGTGCCTCGCATTTTCATTGTGAATGTCAAGTGTTGGCAGCAGTTGGCTTTGCCAAGATGTTTTGTTAGGCGCAGTCTGCACGTGCGAATCGGGTAACTGCTACGTTTGCTATGTCAAGTGGCATTCAAGTGCATTTTATATGCCGCGTCTTTGATTGACATTAACATATTGCGTGGTGCCGCACGTCGACTTAATATCCGCCTGGCGTACGTTGAGTACGTTGCTAGCAAGAAGAAAGTTTCTTTCCACTGCTCAAATAAAAGACGTAAAACAAGTAATGCCTAAGATTTGCTGACCTTACGATCTCTAAACCATATTAAAAAAAAACCCGAAACTTAAGACCGGTTATGACGATGAAAATCTTATTGTTGATTTATTGTATTGTTGTATTGTTGAAAGTCTCTTAACTTTTTTGTCAAACTATGCAATGGTCCAGTTTTGTGGCTAAATCGACTAATTGATACTCTCCTATAACATTATATAGCTTCTTAATGCTTTGATTGCTATTAACTTGAATTCAATTATAAATAGAGTATGGCTCTTAACTGAAATATAAAATTCAAATAAATAAGTAAAATGTGTTTTTTTTTACATTTACCAAAATTGACAATATGATTTCACATCGGCTATTTATTATAGCCCGGCTGAGAAAATAGCTAGAAGCATATAGTAATTGTGCACCATCGAATATATGGCATTAAATATATCTGTGCATGCTAAAAGTCTCGAAAATAAACGGCTAAAAGAGAGATTCAAAATCGTTTTATATCGAGAGCAAACCTTATAGTTATCAAACATTATGTATATCAGCAGCAAGCCTTATAAGTATCAAAAATTAAGTCACGGTGCATAGATTAATTTTTGCGGATTATAGCAATTTTTAATCCCACGCTCATTTGCAAAACTTAAGTTAACATATTGATTATGTATAAGACCAGTTTGCTTTATGATTTGACAATACAAGTTTAGTTAATTTATAGGTACATCAAACTTTGACCTGGTCCATAAGTCTGCTCAAGGTATTGAAATATTTTAATTACATTATTTTGAAATGGTATTCAAATATTCGTTGAATATAAAGTTAATTTTATATGCATTAATCAAATATGCTGACACGCCTGGATTGAATTCATATTATTATTCATTGTATCCAATTCACAACACCAGCTCAGTTAGCTCCATTATACCAAAACATATACGAAAACCCAAAAACTAAAAATATCTTCACCATCAAAGCAAATTGATGTGCTTATGGCAACAATAAAAGAAAGATCTGCATTATTATCGCCGACGGCAACTGCGGAATCGCACTTTTACTTTTGGTGGATCAACATGATCATGAACGTAACTCAACACGCAAAAGTAACTGTAGGTATGTGCAACAATAGTCGTTGGTAAGATGGTAAATTAAACAGAAACTACTGAGAAGTGATTAAGAGCGGAAAGGTTAAAATAAGCGGAAAATTTTCACGGCCCTCTCCAAATGATTTATTTGAATGGGCCAAAGCAAAAGTTGGCTCTTTAACGACGACAAAACATGACATGAGTGATAGAAAAATTATGCCACGAGAAAACGAACGCTGAAGTGTCAAAAGACAAAACAGAAAGAAAGAAAGAAAAAAAAAACATAAACAAAATATGCACAAAAAAAATTATGAAATTTTTAAGTAACACAACAAATCAAATAACAGCCACAAAAAAACAAAAAGGCAAACGCTGATGCGGTTGCCACAATTACAACTCAATATAGTCAAACCAGTTTGGTGTTCGATGTCGCTGCGACTACTCTGCTGGTGATTCCTCTTCTGAAGAAGTCTAGCCATGTTATCTCAGCAGCAACGAGCTCAATCATTTGCCAGTCGGCGAGGCGTGCACAACACAAAAAAACACACAGCTATAATCAACGATATAGCATTTATTATTTGATGGCCAACATGTTGCTGCTAGTCTTGACGGTGAGTAGAGCCCTAAATGCGGGTCGACACTGATTTAATAACTTGCTTAATTAATATTAATATCAATACATCCGTTTACCACAGATGGCGCTAATGAGTTGTGCTCAGTCGCAACAGTACCATTATCCGCGTCCCAACACTCCATTCCAAGTGACGCCCCAGCGTCCATCCGCTAAGTATATAGTTCAAACACTTGGACCACATGGACGCACCTATGAGCTACAAGCGCACCTATCGCCAGCAGTTTATGTGTCCCATGAATCACATTTGGTGCCAGGCATTCAGCAGCAGCAGCAACAGCAGTATCATCATCAAATTCCACATCAGGTGCAGCAACCGCAGCAGCAGCAATACCTTCCCCCCAGTTCGCTACACCAAAATCCGCTGCTGATCAACACCAACAGCTACCCACAAATGTCAGCGGGCTTAGCCGCACCACCAGCGCCCAACAGCTACTACAGTCAGCCACAGCTACAGGCGCATGCACCGGCACCAAATCAGTTGCAGCAGTCAGCTGACAGTTACTATAGCCAACCACAGGCTTTGACAGTTGCACAGCCAGCGTCCAACTATGGTCCACCTCAACAGCAGCAGCAGCAGCAACATCAGCAACTGCAGCAACATCAGAGACAGCCACACAATAGCAACCCACAGCCGTATGCCATTGTCACGCTGCCACATGGCCAACGCGTTCAGGATGGTGGCCATGGTTCCGGTCCACCCCCACCTGAGGTTAACGGATACCCCGCGGCGCCTCCACGCATCGGTGACTACAACGCCCAGTCGCCGAGCTCAGCACTGGACACCTACGACTACAAACAATCGATACCAGGTGATACGCGCAACTATCAGCGCCATGTGACGAACTGCATGCCCAATGGACAGTGTCAGCAGCTGAATCTCAATCCCGGCCAAATTGACATTGATCATCATAAGGTGTTGCACGCGGCGCGTGCGCAAACGCAACCAGCTAAAGTTGGTTGCCAGCCGGATAACTTTGTGCCTCCAGGAGCCCAGCCAAATGCTCAGGGTCAGCTACGTCCGAAGGATAGACGACTCCATGCCCATGTCCAGGAGCAGGTGGCCAGGTATCCTTATAACTAGATGCATTTCAACATCGAATTTATTAGTAGTAAGTGTTAGTCCCTTTCCATAAGTATAAAGAAGAATTAAGAGTAAAAATCAATTATGAACAACAAAAAACAAAGTAGTTCCTTTATTTGTGTTTTAGATTAACAAACAAATTAGTGTGTAAAGACTTTTGTTGAAAAATACGTTGAATTTTATCCATTCGATGCCAGCAAATCAACCTTCCTTTAAAACTTATAAGGTAACAATTGGTCTCTACATAAAAAGCGTATAATTTATTATTTTAATCATTTTTCTCATAATTTTATTTACTTTACGTTTAAAAATGATTATTATTTAGTTTTTATTAATAATAAAATGTTTTTATTGGCAAGCCCAAAAGTATGCTTTGTTTTGTTTACTAAACTCTGGCAATGTTTTTGCCAGTATTTCCGTTTGTTTTCTGGTCCGGTTAATTCTGGCAACAATCAAACAAAAATATTTATGATCATTTTCCGATAGCAATAAAAGATATAATGTTAAAAATTGTATTATTATGTATATACATAGTTACATAGTTACATATGTATGTATCAGCTCACTCGACTTCAGTATTCTTATATAATAATAAGGATAATAATGATTTCAATAAGTATTTTATTATTCCTTTACTATATTTTTTTATTATTACATGTAATATAAATGGACTATATACAATTTAAATTAAAATAAAAGGATATGTTTAATTTTTTGAAAAGTTCTAAAAATGTTCTAAAAGTTCTAAAAGCTAAAAATGCTTACAATAAATATCATTATTGCTATAGTATTTTTTCCTTTCATACATTTTTTTAATTATCACTATCACGAATAGTGACATTAGTCACCAACTATCGACCAAACTAGTAAACTACCCATCATAGCTACTATAGCCATTGGCTAAGATAACAATGCCATCTTTAATATTCAAGTCTTATATTTGAACCCGGATGACTCTTTTACTTAGAAAACTCATCTGACACAAGTCAAATTAATTTCTCTGGGCAGAAGCAAAAATTCTTCCATTCTACATTCCATACTTAATTTGGAAATATTTATCATCAGATTAGTGTTAAACCCAAACAAATCGAAACCTGCTCTACACGACTGTGCAAAACAAACTTTTGACTTAGTCATAAGTTTAACATATGACTGAGATACGAGATACGCCAAGAAGAAACAGCTCCATTTTAGTAACTGCTCATTTAGTATACAGTTTTAAAGACTAAAACACGTTTCACTCTCTGACGTCAAATGCTTCAATGTGTGAGCAAACTCGTCACTGTGCAACGCTGTAGCGCCACCAATGGTAAACAAAGTGTCAATGTACATATAAGTGTCATCATGATTATGATGTAGCTTCCGCTGCTGCTTCACTTGAACTCATCACCGATGATTGGTAGGGAAAAGCTGAAGAGCCAGTGAAGAATTACGCCATATTTATAATTATATTTTTTCTTGGAAGTTGGAAGTTGGAATTTGTGTCTATAATTAAAGCCAGCAGCCAGACACGCTAAATGCTAATGACAAGCGCAATTAAACAAATTAGGCAAAGTATTTAACGAAATGGTAAAAAAAATAGAATTATGGCGCGACATGCCGTCAATAAAGAATGCTTTTAGAATCATATTTCATTCAATTGCGCAACGAATTTTATAATAAATAAATAATTTATTTCAGTGCTTAACAAAACAAACAAAAACAGACAATAACGGGAATATCTCGAGCTAGAAAGTTGCCCCCGTTTGACGTAGTTAGAAATCATTGTATTTCGTGTTCTCGCCGGGATTGACGCTATAAAGATCGTAATCGAACTGATCCCATTCCGCATAGTCTGAACCCTTAGGCTTGGTGTTGCCCTTCTTCAGTTTCTGCTGTGCCTTCTTATTCCAACTGATGTCCACTGGAGATAATTCCAGGCGAGCACGCTGCTCCTCAGCGTTGACAGGCTGCGGAGATCGTACTGGTGTCCTCGATAGGAACTGTGACTCTTCCATGCCCAGATCGTTGTCGGAACTCATTTCGAGCTCATTGAAATTGGCAAAGTTCTGCAACTGCATCGACTCATCCGGATGATGATCAAAATACTCGGGCATAATTAAATTATAATTGTCAGTCAATGTCATCGGTGGCTGTGGCCGAGATGCATAAGCTAATAATGTTTCGCTGCTGGCGCCACGGTGATCGAAGGGCCTCTTCAGCGAGATTTGACTGTAGCGAGGCAGCGCATGACTTGTGCTCAGTTTTAGGCCCAAACAGCAGACAAGCAGCAACTAGAATTTTGGCATACAAATAGTTATTAAAATATGTTCGAATATATTTATTATATATGTAATGCTTACCACATTTCTATAATTTTTGGCAGCCATTTGTTGTGTTGAATATTCACTTTGCACTGATATCTTTTTCGAAGAATTGATAATACACCATTCAACTTGTAGACAAATATTTATAATATATTTACGCTTTTTTTTTTAAATGATTTGCAATTTTGATAAATTTTGTATCACGTCAAGTTACGTTTAAATCGAGCTCTCAAACACGTCTAATGTTCTGAGCGCTGTGTGTTTTTATATTTAAGGCACCCATCAAGTTCGATAACCAAAAAAAAAAAAGCATTCACTGCGTTTGTTTGTATTTCTTTCTCTTTTATTTTTGTTTTTGAGTAAATCCGGTTCGCAAGCGTCGATTTCCAAATGTGAGCGACCATTTGGCTGCTCTGCCGGAGCGTACCGACTGACACACGCAGAAGACGTCAGTGCATGTCCGGTTGCAAGTAGCGTATGCGTCATGCGGCGAGTTGCATGTCAAGTTCATTGGGCACAAATACAATATAAATGCACCTGCGACAAATTTATGAAGTTGGCACACATTCATTTATTTATCTTTAACATTTTAACTTTGTTTTTTATTTAACTTTCTTTGTACTCACTGCTTGCAGTTATTTTATTGGCAAATTAATAAGCACAATTATAAAAAATAAATTACAAATATGAATAACACACGATTTGTGTACCACTGAACTTTTGCTCAGTCGTTTTGAGTTATCATATGCGTATATTAAACACACGCACATACACACACACACACAACACACGCACAGTCATACAAATAGGTACATCAATCAAAAGGTTTTATAATGTGATAATTTAATATTGTTATTTAATTGCTGATCTGCTGTGCGTTGCCTTTCCTTATTTTATACACGCTTTGTTTGAAATTATAATACAATGATATCGTAAACCGAATTAAATGGTGTCATTAAGAAAAATACTAACAGAGAATGCAAATTGGAAGTGTTTCACTTTAAGATTGAGCTTCATGATAAGATTTGTGATTCAAATGATTGGCCTTCGCTGTTGCCTGCATAAGTAGAAACTTTCTATTTGGGTGAGCGCAAGAGTAGAAAGAATGTAGAAAGATTGTCCCAAAAACAATGATTTAAATAGTGAGATAAAACTGATTCTTCAGAATCTAAAATAAAATAAAAATGTTTTAAAATAAAAATGTTTTTGAATTACATAAAATATACTCACAAGTTAATTTTTTGATTAAAAAGAAACAACTTTAATTGACAAGAGGTATGTTGAAATGTGCTTAAATAAAATAGTTACATTTCAACGAAAAGATGAAAGCTAATATTTCTAAACAGACAGAATAAAATTCATCAAAAAATAATCTCATAATGCCTAGCTACAAAATGATTTCAAATATGGACATTTTCATAAATATCGCAAGCAATGCAATAACTGACAAAGAAAGTCTCTTTCCAAAGTATTTATATATAAAAAAATAAGAGCATTTGTTTTTTTTTAAGGCTTCTAGAAACTTTCGTATTTTGCAAAACAAAACTTACCCTTCCATCCGAACACCCCGCAACTGATGACTTTATTTACATTACATTCGGGCGACACTCTGCCTGGCAGTGTTGCATCCAAATAAAATAATGAATTCCGCAAAAAAATGCCCTCAAACGGCTGCGTCATACTCTGAAGCTTATTTTTCACTTACATTACTCGCGTATTTGTTTATTTTATTTATTTATTTTCTTTTTGTGTAAATTGTATTTAGCATGAATGTGTGTGAGTTGTGTATAAATTGCTGCGCGGATTTGTTGTGTGTTTAATACAACTTTTATTGTTTTTGTTGCTGCAGGGCCACCACCCTCAATTCCGAACATGTTTGAGATCAAAGACATGCTTTTGAAAGTGAGTAAAAAATATGTAAAAATGTTTTGTTGGGAATTTACGCCAGAACAAAAATAAAAATAAAAAAATGGTCGGCAGCACCCAAAATAAAACAATGCAACAAAACAAACATGAGGAATTTGACTTTTAATTCTTGTTTATTGTTTTGAAATGTTAATTACAACATTTTCAATTATTTGGAGAGATTCAGCAAAATTCAAAGCGACCTCCAATATTTGTCTGGCTTGAACTATTTGTTGAGCACTTGCAACCAATCCGGGCAAAAGCCTCAAAGCGACGTGCCCCAAAACTCAACCACAACATTACATCAGCTTGACGAAACTGCAAGAACGCCCAGCTGGAAGGCACTTCCTGCGGTTCCTACCCACCTCGCAGTGTTCTGCCCAACTCTGCCCTGCTCCTAAATAAAGCTCGCAAAACCTCAAGTCTCAATTCTCAAAGCAATTCAGGCGTCATCCCATGCTGTAAATCGTTATCCATTCAATGGTGGTGCACGCAAGCAAATACAAATCAAATTAGATTTAATATGCAATTCAACCACAACAAACTGTGCACATAATTTGAACGGCTCACTCCAACACGATTTAATCGCAGACTTTGTGCAATGGTCAGCCAGGCAACTAAATGCTTAACCAAAAGCCTCAACATTTTCAATAAGTTTAATTACAAATTGAGATTACCAGATATATGCTGTCTTAGTGAGTTTAATTTAATGATTATCTGTTTAAGTTGAATTTGCTTAAGCGATTCACTTGACCTCAAATTATATAGCCCTCAAGCATTGCTTTTGAAATAATTATACAAGACTTTTCAAGCTATCTGAAAACTAAAGAAACGTTATTTTATTTTCAATTAAAGATTTTTTATTCCTTTAATATTTTAATTAATTTTACTTATTATTATTGGAATTATACATTCATTTTTATGAATTGTTTTAAATTCATTAAGTTATCCATCCAGATTTAATCATATGCTTATCATAAAGTTTAAACGCGTTCATATGGAGAAATTAATGAGTTGACATATGAATCAGCTTGACTTAAATGCTGCTCCTTTTAAAAATAATCACGACTTTATTATAACAATTTTCGCTCGACTCGCAGCCAATAATAAATTATTGCCGCAAGTAAATGAGTAAGCCGATTTATTCCGAAAACTTATGAAGTGAATGAAGTAATGTTTTTTTTTGTGCAACTCTTACAACAGCTTATTGACCCAATTAACAGCATCTTCCACTGACAACTTTAAGCTTTTGCAATTATTTAACGTACAATGAATGCGCACTTGCAACACGCACACACACACACACACAGGCAGCCATAATATGGGTCATTAGCGCCGAGTTGGCTATTTGTGCCCCATTTGCAGCTGCTGGCCACGCCCACTTAATTGCCATTAATTACGTTTATTTCATCGATGACTCTTACTTAATCTGCATGCTTGCAGCACGTCGCTAACCTGAAAAGGTGCGGCAACATCAAAAACAACGACAATGTCCGCTATATTGATGCATAATTATCTGCAAATTTTAACACAAGAACTTGCAACATTAAGTGGACTTAATGTCAATGCGACTGGCAGCTGACATAATCGCAAATCGTCGCATTAAAATCACTGAACAATATCAAAATCAAAATCAAATTCCAAATCAAAACCAAAATCGAATTCCCAATTCGAAATTCAACCTAATTAGATTTTGCAGTTTTGTTCTGTGACCTGGTCAGCTAATCGCGAAAATGATTAACCGATTGTTCATAATTGAAATGTGTTCGTTTTGTTGTGCGTGTGTGTGTGTGTGTGTGTGTGTGTGTGTGTGTGTGTATGGATGAGTGGGTATTTGTGTTTGTTTATGATATGGGACCGTTGACAGCGATAAATCAGCACTTGTGATGAGTCAAAGGCGAACGCGTACACGGCTCATTAATCAAATATCTAATTACGAGTACATTATTCCAATTTCATACTTCCGAGCACATGCATATGGGTAAGATGTGTGTGCGAGGCGGGTGTGTGGGTGTGGTTGTGTGTACAGGGTGTTAGTGGTGGTGTTAGGCTGCATATGTACTTTGAGGCGGGCTCTGTTCATTAGAGAACGCAAAGGATTTTAAGGCCATGCGATTTTATTGTTTACCCGCGCGCTAATTGTAAATGCCAATCAGGGCGGATACCAGACCAGGCACAGGACCATGGCCCCGGCCCAGATCCAGATCCACACCCGGACACGTCTACAAAGACAAAGCCAATTCTGTTGAGTCGAGTGGCAGTGGCGTTGTCTCTAAAGTCGCTGCCTGATTGCGCCAATTGGCAAGCGCCCGGGCCACGCACGACTGCCTCATACAAACTTGAAACTAAACAAGAAAGTACTGCCATTATCGGCGTACCCAATTTTGTATACCCTTGGTTTCTATGTAAGCTATACGAGAAGAAGAACAACGTTCTTTGGAATCTTACTATTCGGGATAGTTTCGATATTTATGAGTTGAGCAACTGAATCTCAAATGAGGAAATACAACATTAAATTAACGAATTGTAATTAAAAATTAAAGTAATTTTTTCCCGGTTGTCTGTAAAATCTATTTAAAACTAAGTATTTGACTGAGGATAGTGAATTTGGTTAAGATATCTTGAAAAACACAAAAATATATACTTATTGATATAGTTTATTGTAATATAGACAAGCGGATAAATGTTGTTATCTGAGATGTGAGCTTCAATGTGTTACTCAGTTCATGGGATAATTAAAAATACCTTCGAAAGCAAGTGTATAGCTAGAGACGTAGTCGCATCTGGGGGCAACTGACAACTGGTAACGCACAAAGATAGACAAGGAGTGCGCTGATGTAACGAAACGGTTAATTTAGACGGCAATGGCAATGACAACGACAACGACAACGACAACGACAAGAACAACAACAACAACAACAAACGAAGGCAGTTCAAAAGCTGTCAGCACAAGCTGAGAAACAGGCAGCAGCAGCACAGTGAGAACTCGGCTTTTCCATTTGCATAGGGGCGTGTGTGGGTCCAGGATCTGCAATTGAAATTGTCATTGCGAACAGCGGGTGGGGGTCGGGTTATAAGCTTGGGTTAGGGGTTATGGGTTAGGGTTAGACTTGCTGTCGGTTTATTGCTGGATTTTGCTACTCTGTCTGTTGTCGTATAAAACATTTTTTAGTGTTTGTACTCGGTAGCTGCTGGCAAATGCTTAGAATTTAATTAGCCACGCACCCCGATTATGGTCCATTTTAAGCAGCGAGCATGAAATTACAGTTGCCTCCTCAAACACAACAATACAAGCTACAAAATATGGCATGACACAGCATTTTTATTAACCTCTTTCAGGCCTCTTTGAAGTATCAGGCTTAACGGTTTGGTTCAATCCCCCTTTCTCAGGCCAGATATTAAAGCTATTTTATTTATGCATGCATATTTATTTCACAATTTTATTTTCATTATTTATTCTAAGTGTCAGCTAAATGAATAAATAATAATAAATAATAAAGCTGTTAATCAAAATTTTTAGCAATGTGTAATGTGTAATGAGCAGAAAAGTTATAAAAAATTCACAATTCAACTGAATTTATAAATTGTTTGTTGTTTAGCGACCCCATTTTGTTATTTATATGTTTTTTATTTTTATTCATATAAAAAAATGAATGGTGTACTAGAATATGATAGTCCTCCTATAATATATTCTATATAATTATTTATAACAATCGTTCGATCGGTTATAGAATGAATATACATTTCCAGTAAGCAATCATAATCCAGTCCATCATGTATTAAGCCAAGCAAGTCAAGTTGTATTTAGGTTGAGATCATCAATTTAATAAATCTCTGGCAGTATATAAAGGATCATCCAGGAGATAGAAGGTAGAACCAATCATATTGCCACAGTTTGTGCTGTCGTCATCCGCATCGTGTCTTCGTTTTACTTAGTTTTGGCTGTTGTCATTGTTTGTAACTGTCGTCTGGCGATTGTGCTTAGCGTTGACGCAAAACAATGAAAAACACTTCAGCACTTTCATTTTTCAGCTGAAACACTTTTGTAGACAAACACACACACATACACACAGCAGCAGCCGCAGCATACTTTTTGCGAATTTTTATTTATTATTTTCTTGCTGACAACGCAGCACCAACACATACAAACAGTGGCAAACAATTTGCAACGTCGCACTCAACATGAAGTGTTGCGGTTTTTTCTTTCTGTATGGCGTGTTTTTATATTTTTAGAAATTGTTTTTAGTTGAATGAGTCGCTTTTGTTTTTCAAGTTGGACAACATGGCAGCAGCAGCAGTAGCGACAGCAAATGGAGTTATCTAGAGGCGTGGCATCGTTGATGACAGATAAGACACATATTGTAGAAACTTTCTGCTGTTGCACACACACACACACATATGCGACATCTGCTGCATTCAACCACCCACACACACGGAAACAGCTATTGAGCTGCGCGAATATATGCAACACTTTTTATTAATTTATTTTCTCAACCATTGCGCATCTTTATTAATCAGACCGAGCCATTTTTAATTAAAAGCCACTAACCAGCTGTCGCCTTGAGCAGCTTTGCACTGAGCAGCGGCTTCGCATAGCAGCAGGAACACGGCATGCCCGCCTCTCCCTTCTCCTTGCAGCAGCGTTCGCACCACTCATCCGTCGCATGATCCGCTTGAGGTGAGCTAATTAAAATGCATTGTTTGAATACAAATAACAACAGCAACAAAAATCTGCCAAGATATCTATAGTCGAGGGTGTCTGACTAGGAAACACCCTGTAGTCATATAATGTGTGCCTTACCCAATAAACGTGCACTTTCTTCCATAATAATTAAAAAATTGACATATATTCTATGCCATGCAAGAATATTCTATTTCTATCCTATTCTATTTCAAAATAGGAGATTGACAGTTATTGCAGACCCCGCTGATTAAAACATTCAATAATAAGTGGAATATTCTTGAAATTTATAAGCTTTACGATAGCATAAACTATAAATTTGCAGATCTTATAAACATTTTGATTGAGTCGGAAATTTATAAAAATTTTACAGTCTGTGTATTTTATCGACTTAACATTTTCTGGCTGATGTTGAAAAACCGGACGTACAGATACACGGACAGACAGATTGAGATGGCTATATGGACTCGGCTGTTGAGTAAGAAAATGTACACTTCTTTTTGTCTGTCACATAACATAAATACAACTTCTTGTTACCCTTTGAACAGTGTAGTAGTAGTAGTAGTAGTACCATGCATCCGGTAATAAAAGTATTTTGCTTGAAAGTTGTTTTGCTTACGTAGGCTGAAAACTGCTGCCCAGACTTCCGATTGGCGCCACAATACTAGCTGCTGGCGGCCAAGTTGCTGTTGATGTTCCAGTTGTTGTTGCTACTGCTGCCGTTGCAGGCGGCGCCAATGCAATTTTTGGCCCTGTTTGTACATAATGGATGTACTGATGTTGTTTTTGTTGCATCTGAATTGGCAGCTGAGTGAATTGTTGGTGTTGTTCTTGTTGTTGTTGCTGCTGTTGTTGTCGTTGTTGTTGGTGTTGTTGTTGCTGTTGTTGTTGATATTGCGTAGACGTTGATTGCTGTTGTTGCTGCCGTACATTGACGCCATTGAACCCCTGCAATATTTGAGGTTGTTGACTTGCCAACCTCACAGGATCTGAGGCTTCATAAACAAAAAAGTTTTGCTGATTTTGTTGTTGTTGTTGTTGTTTTGGCTGTTTCCCTTCAAATGGTAGGCTCTGTGGTTGGAATCGCGTTTGCTCCCGCTGCTGTTGTTGCTCCTGCTGTTCTGGTTGCTGCCAATTTAGCATAGTTTGGTCCAACAATTGCTGCAACAATGGCGCCAGTGCACCGCTATCCTTGATTTCGTGCAGCTCCGTTGCCTTAGTAATTTGTATTGCATTCACTTGATTTGGCAGCTGTGTGGCTCCACCATCACCGCCATTAGGACGACCATCGCCAGAACGTCGTTTATAGGTTGTGTAAGCAGCACTGCAAGTAAATAACTGCTCAATAGATTGACCTGCTTTTTACATAAGCCCACAGACGACCTACTTTGTCGCCGGCTGTTCAAACAACTGTGCTCCGACTCCGAGTGTGTTCCAGCAACATAGTAGATTACTGCTGAGCACAGTTAGCAGCAGTGTTTGCCAATTGAAAGACATATTTGGTGAAGCGAACCTGCCACCTGGAAGCCCAAATGTTTACTAAAACCAAATTACGAATAATCGAATTATGTGCTGTAGAAACCTGTCACATTAGATCCGATTCTCTACAAAACTTGTCGGTGCTAATAATAAAATATGTTCTGCATTAAATTATCATATTTTTTTTATTTTGTCATTGATGTGAATGAGTAAATAACCTATTGTTTGTACATGATTATACATAAATATATTTGCTCATAAATATGCATATAATAATTATTAAGTGCGAACAATCTAATTAGCATATTTTTGTGATAGGTCCGACACAACAAATAGCTGCAAGAAAAATCATTAAAGTCATATTGTTTAAAGCGGCTAATAATTTTGCTAAATAGAATTTAAAACATTTACATTTTGAGGTAATTTATTATTGAATCAATCATGATCTAATGCAAATTTTTGTTATATTTTTTATTATAACAAGTTGACCTAACTTTGTTTAAAGTTCCGGTTTTAGAGAAACTCTGTCACAGTTTTTATGTACTAGACTTTTATGCCCCACATAGATGGACTTGAAAATATTATACATTTTTGTTGAATAAATCATCAAATTTAAGTAAAAAACTGAAATAAAGGGCATTCAATACCAGCTTTTCTCGTTACGATTTTACGACTTGATATCTTTTGATATCATTTGATGTTCACAATGAGTAGCAGAGACAATTTTCGTAGAATCCCACTTATTTGTCCTTGCCGGTATTAAATGAAAGAAATATTTTGTTGTCGACTACTATTTTTAAAAAATCAAAAAGATAATTAAAAAAATATATATATTTTGAAACCAATACATAACTTTGTTGTTCACAAGCACAAAATAATGCTTCCGAATTGCTGTTCTTTGAAATTTCTGTACGAAGATAATTTAATGTTTTAATGGTAATACAGCAAAGCTTCTATAGAAATCATTATATTCATTCAAGCTGTCACTTACTGATACTTGACAGATAATGCTTGTAATGCGGCATGTATGAGTCCTGTGAGTTGAAGAACTGGACAGGCTCTAGGACGACGAGATGGCCATCAATCTGTTAAAGGGCAATCGCTGATGGGCATCTTTCACACTTTAAATGCATAGCCCTTAGTCATAGTTTATGTGTGTGTGTGTGTGTGTGTGTGTGAGCGAATGTTTTTTCATTAAATTACATGCGTCCTGTCTGCCAAAAACACACACACACACACGTATCCAGGGACAACTCGACTCGACCACCAAAGTCATGAAATTTAGTGTTGGTGGCATAATTAGACCATCAATTGCGGAAAACTCTTGACAGTCGTGAATGGACGTTTGTGTGTGACGCATAACCGCAGAGTTACAGTGCCCACAATCACACACACACACACACACACACACACACACACACACAACACACACACACACACAGCCACACAGTTACACAAATATAAGCACACATAGCATTGGGGAATAAAGTAATATAGCCCAAAAGCATAAACTCATCAACGTCGGAAATGCTGACAACGAGAGCACAATAACAACAACAACAACAATCACCACAACAAAACTGGCCAAAAAGCTAAAGCGAGTCTGTTAACGTTGGCCCATCGCTTTTTGGCCGACTGTTGCTTACAGCTATAACGTAGGGATAATATCACCGACAACAACAACCAACCAACAACCAACAACAACAACAACTCTCTCGCCATTTTGAAAAGCAAAATGCAAAGCACAAATGCTACTTTTGTCGCTCATAAATATTCACTTGAATATATTTTCGGTTGTTCTTGTTGTTGCCGTTGTTGTTCTTGTTGCTGTTCTTATTTTTGGCCAGTTGGCTGTGTGGTCGCTTTCATTTTCAGTTTCTGGCCAAAAGGCGCAAAAGTGTGAAAATGTCGAGCATTTTTATGACTATTTTTTGTGACTGCTGCCAGCGGACTGTGAAAGTTAAGCACATAAATTACATGGGAATTTCGCACTGGTCCAAAGAGTCGACTAAGAGAGACAGAGAGAGAGAGAGCGAGAGAGAGTGGGGAGTGGGAGATTGAGAGGTAGAATGAGAGAGAAATTAAAAGCACATTGCCCGGGAAAAACACTTCCGACGCGTCGTATGTGAAGAGTGCTCTTTTTAGTTAAATTACACGCTCTAATCCACAACTTTTGAGTGGGCTGCAACAAAAATGAAAACCAAACTCAACACCACCAAATAAAGTCTAACATAAAAGGCGACATTTCGTAAAGGCGCCAGAGGGCCACCAAACAGAAAACCACAGCAGACAAGCAGGCAAGCGCCAAGGACCTAAGCTCAACAACAACAACAGATACACACACACACACGCAAGGAAAGCAGCTAAAAGTATGCAAGGCATAATTCATGCTGATGGAACTGTATGCATGCATGTAAGGATGAGAAAATGGGAAGTGAGCGCTGCCCGCTGCCCGCCCCCGACCACCCAACCCCAGCGCGACCACCCGCCTGCGTCTCTGCCCGGAAAGCCTGAAAATCATATGCATCACGTGATTAAACGCGTCATGCATGAAAATGTAAAATATTGCGCTCGAGAGTGCGAGACATAGAGAGCGAGAGAGAGCGAGGGAGAGAGAGAGAGAGAGAGAGAACGGGCGGCCACACGGAGTCAACGACTGGCGAGAGAACGAATCAAAAAATAAAAAAAAAAGTAAAAAATATAAAATAAAAAAAATTAGACATTGCACGTCATGTTTACTTGACTTGACTGGCAAAGCCGAAGCAAAAACAAAAACAAGAAAAAGCTCGTTCCCAGCAACAACAACACCACAGCGCCTCAGTTACAAATTTCCACAATTTTTTCTCATTTAAATGGAGAAATTGTTCGCTGACTGCCACTGACTGAGATGAATCTGGGCAGCACGTGCTGAGACGTCAGCCATCATGCCATGAACTTGGCCAAAATAGAAGGGGTTCCTTCGCCAACGTCATCAAACTATGCTCAGCAATTTGTGGCTTAAATGCAAGTAAATAAGCATTGAAAATAATAATAACGTCCTGCGTTAAAGGTCAAAATGAAAGAAATCGCGCTTAATAAACACACTACAAAAAATACATATATCAATTAGGAAAGTTATAAATTATTAAACACAATTTGGTTTGAGATATATAAGATTCAACATAAATTCAAGTTTGCATTCAAGAATTTCATGTAGTTCGTATCTAAGAAAAAAACACTAATTCTTTGCTATAACACAAATATTTTTGATTCGACTAAGTGACCAAATTTAACAACTTAAGTACGAAAGCTTTAAGTATTTTCTGTTTCGTTCAACTGAAAAAAAAATAATAATATGCATGGCTTCGGGCAATTTTAATCGTAATCTGTTTTAAAATCTAAGAAAATCCATTCATTTGAATTATTATTAATTATGACATATTACATTTTACAGATATGCTTAAATGATTAATGCATAGGGAATTTTAAGTTAAGAATACTCAGAAACTCAACTGTTTTATTTTAAATGGCAACAATACTAATCTAGAGCCTCACTTTAGCACGCATACGCCGCATAACTCATTTAGTGCATTTGCCAGCCGCTTTTCCTGCCACACATAATCACATGCATATATATATATATATATATATATATATATGAAGTTATATGAACATATTTGTGTGTGTAAGTGTGTGTGTGAGTGACGTCATCCCCTGCTGAAAACTTTTTGTATACTTTGTGCAAAATTTATTACTACATTTGTATATGTCACTCAAAGGCGGGCACAGTGAAATTATGTCAGCTAAAAGTTTAAGTTTAACTACTTTCCTATGAGTTTCTCGTAATGTAGCAGATCATAAAAAAAAGGCAAGTAGAAGAATGTTCAAGAGGGAAAGTGTAAACCCCAAGGAGATACCCTTCAATCAGCTATGAGGTAGAGTATTTAGCAAGAAAAGTTTGTAGCCCTAGATTTTATGTTATTTTTTATAATATCAGCTTAAAAAATAGTTTTTTTTCTCTTTTTGTATGAACTTTATATATTTTGATATGTATATTATTATAGTATCGAAAATGTCTGCAGTTGTTGGCTATGCATATTTGCACAAAATCTTTAGTATGCCCATTTTAGGGCTAAATATAGAGACACACTAAATGACAAGGATAGAGATATGGTAAAAGAGAGAGAGAGAGAGAGAGAGAGAGAGAGGGAGAGAGAAAGAGAGGTACATAATATGGTAACTTTCTTCATTTTGTGTATGCACACTTTGTCGCAGTTGCCGTTGGTGCCATTGCTGCACTTAGCTTTAGTTGATTATTTTCCACTTTTTGCTTTTAGTCCTCGTCCACATCTACTATTTTATG